GAGTTTTTAGGTAACAAACAGAAGAAGAAAATATAATGAATTTCAAAACAAGCATTTTCTTACCAAAGTACGTGATACTTCAGGAAAGAGCAAGTTTTCCAGATCGCAAAGGATTTTTAAACATGATTTATTTCACAAGGGACATGAAATAACAACAATGGTAGGGTCCTAATAGGGAGAAGAATATTTACTATGTACTCACAGTCATGAAGTGCTAACACACCCATCTCTAATTATCACTGCAACCCACAGAGGGAGCATTGCAAACAAGAGAACTGAGAGTTAGGAAGGGGACATGTTGTTTAAGTCACATGGCTAATAGATGGTGCACTCTGGTAGATTGCACCAAAGCATCTCTCCAGAACGTGTTCATTAATGGTTATTTTTTTAAATGCCTAAAAATCCTCAATATGTTTATTTCTTATATCAGCCCTTGTTCAAGACTGAGAGGATGATATTAAAATAGAATTTAAGAAAGACATGCCCTTGGCACCAATACATTCAATTTATTAAAATAAAGTCTTCAACAGTGTAATTGTTTCTTATCTATTATTTGGTGGTACTGGGAGTTGAACTCAGGGGTTTGCACTTGCTAGGCAGGTGCTCTACCACTTGAGCCACAAACCCAGCTCTTTTTGCTCTGGTCATTTTGGAGACAGAGTCTCACTTTTTGCCCAAGTTGCCCTGGACCACAATCCTCCTATTTTAAGCTTCCCCCCATAGCTGGGATGACAGGTGTGTGCCACCATGCCCAATATTTTTTTCTTTTTTTGATGGTACTGGGGTTTGAACTCAGGGCCTCACACTGCTAGACAGGCACTCTACCACTTGAGCCACTCTGCTAGTCCATTTTTATGTTAATATTTGAGATAGAGTCTCTGGAACTATCTTTTCCAGGCTGGCCTTGAACCACAATCCTCCTGATCTCTGCCCAGCTGGGATTAGAGATGTGAACCACAGGCACCCAGCAGTTGTCTTTTCTTTTGAGTTAGAGTCTTACAACTTTTATTTATTTTATTTTATTTTATTTTATTTATTATTATTGGTGCCTGGACTGGCCCAGAACTGAGATCTTCTAGATCTGTTTCCCACATAGCTTGGGATAACGTGTGGCCACCACATCTCCAAGCTATTGGTTCGGATGGGGTCTCACAAACTTTATGCCCAGACTGGCCTTGAATGACAATCCTCCTGATCTCAGCCTCCAAGTAGCTAGGATTACAGATGTGAGGCACCAGTATTTAGTTTTTGTTTCCTATCTTGACTACTCTAAAGACAAACTTATATATGTTATCATATACTTTCTGTTAAAAAAGAAAAACTGCACTCAAAAACATGAGCTAGTAAATTGTGCTTCCCTGCCTCCCACTCTTCCTTCCTTCTCCTCCTTTTTACTCCTTGAACTGTTAATTGATTTGTGCATAACTCATTATTTGCTGCCCAATTTATTTATCAAGAGCTATCAATAAAGGTTATCTTTATTAAGGTAACCTTTAGTAATTAGATACTATAATTTTCAGATTTATATCTCTTAAATTTACACTAACATAAATTTTAGAAATCCTTTCTCAAATTGATGTTTACATTTTTTTTCAGATTCCTTGCTTCTATTATTGCTTATGTTTAACACTTGTTTTATTCTGTAATGCCCAGTTATTGTTTTTTTCTCTACTTCTCTGTTTATATTGTATCCTCATGATATATATAACCTGTACCTAAAATCATAATGTCTTGACATCATTTGCCCATAATTGGATATTTCTTTATTAGTCGAACTAAACCATTAAAAATATTGGAAATCTCTATATACATTTTCCACAACTTTGAGGAACATTTTATCCCTGACTCCCTTATTTAAACTACTAATCCGGTAAATAATGCTAGATTTAACTAACTTGAGGAAAAGCTCTTTGGAGTCCTTGGTGATTAGTAATATCTTCCCTTTTTTAATATAAAATGTTCCTGAAAACCTGTGGTCTACAAGAGTGTTGCTGCTACTAAAAATTGTAACTCCTTGGGGAAGACCAAGGCGCATACTCCACATTTTCCTTCTTTCTGACTTCCTGTCTTTAAGATAATGTAAAATTTAGAAATATTATAGCTCAAAGGCTACCAGTGGCTCTAAACAAAAACAGTGATGATTCTTGCCATTTTTCCAATCAAATACACTTAAATGTATATGGTTACATCATGACTTCTGGTAATCCTGCTACATAAAGTAATTATAGCAAATTATCCCTGCATATCTCTTTAAAAGTCAGAGCCAAGACCTTTAACATTTCATTGCTTTGTTTCATTTTTTCTGTTTGTTCCTCTGGTAGTGCATAGCTCTTAATTTTATTATTTTCTCTAAAACTTTCCTTCTTTATCCAGTCTAGATGTCTTTTATGGAGTGCCAAAGTGTCTTTCCTTATTACTAATTTTTTTAACTTGCACTTAGAACACAACCATGATTTATGTTCAAAAATTCAGAACAACATTTAATGAGAATTTTCCTATAATTAGTACTTTGCTAAACCAAAACTTAACAGGTCTGATGAAATTATCAGTTATTGTTATTGAATTGCTAATTTTAGTGTCACTTTCTTTTCAAAGAGGTGGAGCTTCTAAATTAGGTACGATTAGTGGGAAAATCAATATTTTTTTCCTATTGGTCCAAACTATGCAATTTTTATGTATGTCCCAAAGCTTTCAGATACTTCTATCTTCCCTCTTCAAACCTAGCATAAATCAAGATACGGTGTCTTCCTCCTTGGGGATATGGTGGGTGTTCTCTGGGGATCATAAAAGCTTGACCTTCGCCTCTCATTTCTCTTCTTTTACTATTACACATATCCCTCACATTTTTCTCCCCTCTTCTCATTATTATGTTCCTCTCATCCCCTCCCCTGAATTAATCAAATGATAAGGATTTACTGAGCAGCACCTTGGGACTCATGTAATAGGCAAAGGTGTGGGTTCTATTGCCAAGTAAGTGAGTGAGAGTTCCAAATACAAGTGCAGTGACATTGTGCCTATCTCTTGGCCTATTTGTGCTCAGTTTCCTCATTTGCAAAACAGATGTTAGATGACTTACCCATAGAGCTGTCGTGAACATTAAATGAGCTAATGGATATAAGGTATTTATTTATGGTAGTTCTTCAAATATACTGTTTAAAACATGTAAGATATTATCTACATGTGATAATTACCTAATGTAATGAGTGAGCTAGACCTAATGAGACATGAGCAAGGCCAATTTTCTATTTTCTCACTGTCATGCTGGCAAAGCTACTCTACAAATCCATTCTTCCCCTTCATGAATAAAATTTCAGATCATCCCCACAGCTTTTTGAGTCTCTCTTGGGTATAGCATGAGCCAAAATTTTAGCGTTTTATCCAATTTTAAACTTCTGACTTCCCCCACACTGGACCTTGGAGATCTATAAGTATGGAGGGTAGGGATACTTGTTAGTTTTTTCTCTTTTCCTTGCCCTATTCTAACCAGCTAGCTGGTGTTTCTGGCCCTTCCAGGTTTGGAATGTGGGTAGCAGCAGGAGGGCAAGAGGAAATGGAAGATACTTAGACCAGAGAAGTTATGGTGTGACAAATTAAAACAAGAAAGACAAATCAGCAAAAGATTAAAAATATATATTTAGCCAAGTATGTGTGTGTATATGTATCTATATAGAGATAGATGTATACTGTTTGTATGGGTGAAAACTTGATGGATTCTTTTTTAGGAGAGCAATTTTGCAGTATATATTAAAATAAAAACTCTACACACCTTTTGATCCACCACCTAACCCGCTTCTGTCCAAAGAAATAGTGGCAGAATTACCCAAATATACAAGTGATAGAACACTTATTACTGCATTTCCTGTAAATTTTTTAAATCAAAATCAACTTGAATGTCTATCCAAAAGGAATAACAAAATTATGATGGACCCAACACAAAGGATGCAAGAGTTATATAGAATAAGGTAAAGTGAGTAGAAAAGGTTTTAAATATTAACTGAAAAAAGTGTGTAAAGATTCATGTTAATGATAGATTTAAGTAAGAAAATCAAGTAAGAACATTGAGAAAAGCAGATATGTCTCCTTAAATACATATAGTTATGTTTATAAATGCACAGAGCACAAAAGTTCAAACCAACTTCTTAAAGTTCAGACTGATGAGCAACTACTTTTGAAGAAAGGCTAGAACTAGGGGAGAGAGTCAGGTACAACTTTAGCATTTACAGTGAGAATGCCACATGGGTGATTACATGGAATTTTACAAAATAATTTAAAATATAAAATGAGTGGAACTGCAAGAAGTGACCTTTAAGGTTCAGCTTAAATAAAACTTCCAATTTATGTACAGCAGTTGGATTTACTAATTCTCAGAAGAGTCTATGAACGCATTCATCACCATCAAACAATAGTTATTAAAGATAGTTCTATATAACAGCTACTCACATCTAAATGTTCAAGCAGTAATTATGAATTATTTCTATGGTTGTGAGTTTCTAAGATCACATATACAATTAAGTTTTTTGATATAACTAGACAAATTTCAATATATTGCACTTTGACCTTTTGTACTAAGAATTAACCCATTCCAACTGATGCAGTAACATGCCAATAGAGAACTGCAGTATTCACTGAGGAACAAATATTTCATTCTTGGAATGATTCTAAACATTCCAAGTTGCATTTTATGTTCAGTTAACTACTTATAAATTGTTAGTTTGTTTTGTCTTGTTTTGTTTTTTTACTGTGCTGGGATCGAACCCAGCACCTCCTACATGCTAGATAAGGGCTCTACCACTAAGTTACACCCTTAGATCTAACAAGCTATTTGTTAATGTGTATAGTTTAAAACATATTTTTTCTTAGTGATATTTATTTTTAATTCATACTATGAGTGTTTTTGAATCACAAACATAAGTTTATGATGAGTCTTAAAAGACTAAATATGGATGTTGGAACCATAAACAGAATTACACAAATGTTACTTCATTATTTTCCCTATGTAGTACCTACATGAAAATGGGATTGTCCATCGTGATCTCAAACCAGAGAATCTTCTCTATGCAACTCCAGCCCCAGATGCACCTCTCAAAATCGGTAAGAACTTTTCATGATATTCCATGACCCCTTTTTCCAGAGCAGAAGAAATTCATTCTGTGGAATTTAAAAATGTTGCTCCAACCAGTTTTGCCCTGTCAAATTTCCTCTAACATTTGACATCTGTGGAGGAATAATACATTGGTTTGGAAGTTTGTGCTCTTTCCTGGAATGTTAACCTGGAAATTATTGCTGGACATTGGTGTTCCATTGAATCAGGACTCTTAGCAATGATGATGACTTCAGGAGATAACTTTGTGTTCTGTAGATAAACTTGATTAGTGTATAGTAAAGAAATGACAGAAAACCTAGCCCTTTTTTGAGAGTTTTCAACTTTTAATCTGCAAGTTATTTGCAGGTTAGTCTTAGATAATGAAGAACTTTGACAAATGATACTTAGTGCATATTAGTGAATGTAGGTTCTGAGTTACTTGTTTATGTGAATAGAGATAAATTAAGGTCTGTATTTCCCAAAATGTGCCCCCACAGGATACTGGTGCCTCATTAGGTTAAATTAGGGTGAATGAGTCCCTTTTTTGAGAGGGGGATTTAAGCAGTTTCCAGGGGTGCTATGCTTGGTCAAATATGTTAGGAAAGGGCACCTTAAACAAGATTTTTATTTCTGCAGGACTTCCAGAACCTTCAAAAAAGTTCATTTGCACACTGACATATCATCTAGTGCATTATATGGCTTTTTACCAAACCTTATTGACTCTGGAAGCCTTTCCCCCACCCGCATAAGATGAGCTTTGAGAATTTATGATCTATACAAAGAACACTCAAATCGTCAGTTAAATCAGCATGTTAACAAAAATATGCTAAATGTTACGTTCCAAAGCAAATCTTCATTTTCAAAATCATTTAAAATTTATTATAGATGAACTATCCTTCACAGAATCTGTACTAAATCCTCTGAAGGGCATTGCCCTTCTATGCTGCCCTTCACAGGGCTCAGCTGATGCGCTCACTGCATTTACAAGTGTTAACACCTCTGAAAATTAAGTTGTTCTATCACAGAAGAGCTCAGACAACAGAATGTGCCTTAGGACTGCAAGAACCTAAAGAAGAATCGTGAAAGTCCTGCTGGGCAGCCAGCTTGTTCCCATAATCACTCCTGAAAGGCAGTGGACAGCAGGGAGTTTCCATTTCCTTTGACATCACTTTCAAAGACCTAATCCTTAAAGAAATGGTCTTTAAATGGATGGATAGATACTAATTTAGGCAGGAGAGACTTTCTTTCTGAAGGGCTTCCTGCTGCTTTGACTGATAAGGACCAGGCACCTGCCTGGAAATGTGGGCTGATCTGTGAAGTCTAAAATGGCATCCATTCTGCACCTGCCTCTCTTGAAGAATGGCCTCGAGCACTTTCCTGATACTTCCTGAGAGCACAAGAGAGAGAAATTCAGCCCAGCAATAGATCTTAGTGGTAGCAGCTTTGGTCATATTTTACCTGGGTAATACTCTCAGGAATAAATAAAAAGGATTTTTGCTTAAAAAATGTCTTATATCCATCATATGAGAGTTAATTCTCACCTGTCAGCTATGCTAGGGACTGATATTATTTCTTTTCAGTCATAATAAACCTTTTGATATTTCTGTTTATTTTCATGACATTTATCAAAGTTTAGTTTTTATTCCCACAGATGGATTCAGGTTCTGCATTATGTCACTTAAGCCCTTATTGTCCCTTGTACTTACTGTCACTTAAATCTCACAATTAATAACATCAGACAAAACAACTATTACATCTCTTACCTTACTAACTAGTACCTGGAAAATATAGAGAAAAGTAGAGATTAAATGTAAATTTATTTGTAAATGTACTTGGTAGTATATTTTTCTTCAATTTAAATACTTGAACTACCTCTCCTTCCTCTCATGTGACTTGTCCCCTCCCACACCCACCACACTATCAAATACAAAAGCAAGCAAACAGATCAGCAAACTCAGTTTATTTTTTTAAGAACAGAAGTATTTATAAAAGCTGAGCAAGGACTTGCTTCATTAAATTCTTTTCTTGTGATTATAGCTGATTTTGGACTCTCTAAAATTGTGGAACATCAAGTGCTCATGAAGACCGTATGTGGAACCCCAGGGTACTGCGGTATGCTCTTTGATACTGACATTTTACCTTCATTGAAATCTATTTTTATTTAGTGACCTGGTTTTATTTTTAATTCCTACTGTCTCTATTTATAAATGCTTAAAATTTGGTGTGGATGTCCATGACTCAGTCATACATAAATGATACTCAGACCACCTCTCGTTCTTCCCGAGGAGTTCAATGATGGGAGGTTTAGGACATCTCTAGTCTTTTGGGAGGAGCTACTCTTGGACCCAGGCGGAAGTAGAAAGACAACCACCAGGGAAGATGGAATAGCAGAGTCTGTGGCTGGACTTAAAGCCAGGAGTCCTTTGTCATTTTCCTTCCTTTGGAGTGTGTATGAGGAAAGTGGGTACGCTAATTCAGATGGCATATTAAGACAACAGTGAGAATTGGTCAGGTCCTAGTGTGGGCACCCAAACAAAAAGGCATGACTCTCATTGTAGTGGCTTATCTGTAGTATCAAGAAAGAATGGCATAAAATACGTAACTAGAAAAAATGGATTTATTTACAGTTTGGGTCCAAATTAGAGAGAGTAGCATTCTCTGTGTCCACCATCTCCATAGCAGAGTTACAATTCTAGAAGGGCTGGAACAAAAGCCAGGAAATATGCATGTGCAGCAGAGCCTACCATGGGCACCAGTTAATTGGCTGGGAGATAAGCCTTTTCTCCTGGCACCAGGCCTTCTGGGTATGGGCAATTGTCTCTGCTCTCAGCATGATATTTCTTGTAGGGAGCTGGGACTAACAGGACTTTTTTTTAATCCTAATTTTGAAGAAGTGCAGTTACACTAAGTCTCATTTGTGGCACTGGCCTAACCCTTTCAGGTGGACCATCCCTTAAAGAGTTCCTCCAACCCCTGCATTCTCTTACTTAGACTCCCAAAATGAACTGAAGGCACGCAGCATATCTATCAGCTGTCATGCAGAGACAGAGCAGCAGCGTTTGGTTCACACTAGCATGAAACCTGCCTTTTTTATGGCTAAATTAATCTAGCAATAACCTAAAATCCAAAAAAGCTTTAAAAATTACCAAGAATTCTAAAATTTTGGTATGTAGTGAATACAATTCAAATCCCAATCTAGAGTAAAAAGAAAAGAGATAAAACTTCAAGTCATCAGTAAAAGATTAATCAGCCTTTCCTCTGAGGATCAGAATCTTTTTATATAAATCTCCTTTCTTTCATTCATCTCTTCAACAAGCATTTATTAATCACTACTTGTATGGTCAGGCCACTGCCTGGCACCAGAGAAATCTGTTTCCTACACCCTATGGGCTCTCAACAGAGGAAGATACATACAACTCCCAAATCGATAGCACCTTAAAAAATATGGTGGAAAGGCCATTATAGAAACAATGGAAAATGAGGGTGTTTGAAGTTACTGTTCTTCTCACTTGTCATCATCCCTCTCTCAGAACTAGACAGAGAAGAACTACATAGCTAATTTTTTTAAATAACTTTTGAATGATCAGAAATCAGGTTGGAGAAGTGCAGTAAAATATCCTTTTTAACAAACATATGACTAAATCCACGTAATTTTAGTGCTGGAAGCAATTCTAAATCTCACTTATTAGCATTCTCATTTTACTAATATCTAGAGCATTCCAGTGACTTCCCTCAGTACCTAAAGTAGTGTTAGCGACTCAGACATTAGAATCCAGGTATTTAAAGCCTAAAAATTCATAGAATTTCCCCCCTTAAGTACCGACGTAGATAAGTCGATATATTATTGCTTTTATTTTAAAATGTCTTCTTTTTAGTTGTTTAAAGTTCAGAAGTATCACCTATTATAAGAAATAAAAGTCAAAATTTGTTAATATTATAGCCTCATGGACATCTTTCTACATCTTTCGGTGTCTCCTTGTTCATATATGCATCTTATAGTTTTGCTTTTAATGAGTTAGTTTACCTGGTGAATTTAAAATGATATTTCCTTAAAACCTTATTTTTCACAAACCCAATAAGTGCACAGAATTAGATATACTTATCTTTCTACTAAATCTTTACATCATGCCAAGTATTCTTTTTTCTGGACCTTAAATTCTGAACCTTAAACAATAGTCATTTAGTAGTAATTTCAGAAAACTCTTAATGGTGCCTTAGACAAGGTAGAAGAGTTCTCTCATGTTAGAGGTCTAGAGGTGAGCAGTCTTGGTGAAGGAGCTGATGGTTTCTTTTGGCTCTCTTTCATAAAGCACTACCCCATTCATGCAGGGCACCCTCATCATCCAATCACATCCCAAAGGCTCCACCTTCTAAATCCACCACCTTGGGAGGTGTCAGGATTTCATCATTTGAATTTTGAGGTGATACATTCAGACCATAGCGTTAAGAATGAGGTTTGGGAGCACTAGGGCTGTCATTCAGTAGTAGAGCACTTTGCCTAGTATGCGCAGGGTCTTGTATGAATCCTCAACAGTGAAAGAAAGGAAGAGAGGAGGGGAGAAGAGGGGTGGGGAGGGGAGGAGAGAAGAGGGGAGGGGAGGAAAGGAAGAGAGAAAAGAAGAAAGATGCCGGATTACGTAACTCATTGCCTCTACCATAGATTTATTGAAGCAAGAGTTGATACTTTAGAACTGGGAAAACCGTTACATTATACCAGGTTTGCCATAGGCATCCTCTTGTTTTATTTTGTTTTGATGTTTTTTGTTTTCCTTAAAACTATTTTCTGACCATCTTTTGGGCCCTTCCATTTTATGGTGCCATATGTACTTTTTTTCTGTTTGTAATTCATTAAGTTCTTTTTTTATTTTTTAATTTTTTTATTGTTGTGCTGGGTGGGAGTACATTCTGGTATTTACAAAAGTTCTTATCGTATGTTCTTATTTATTCTCCTCCTGTATTTCTTTTATGCCTCCAGGTCTCCAAGACTATAGTTGGGACCCTAAATTTAGTATCTTGTGCCAAAACAATTGCCCATTTGTCTTCACTAATTGCTGACCAATTGATAAGAGGATTGAAAAAATATTTGAGCTTTGCTGGGCATGGGTGGCTCATACATGTGAGCCTAGCTACTTGGGAGGTTGAGATCAGGAGGCTCACAATTCTAGACAAATAGTTTGCTAGATCCCATCTCCAAAATAACAAAAGCAAAATGGACTGGAGGTGTGGCTCGAGTGGTAGAGCACCTGTTTTGCAAATGTGAAGCCCTGAGTTCACATTGCAGGCCCACCCAAATAAAAAAGATTTGAAGAAAAAAAGGATAAAATAAATTAAGAAGAAAACTGATGGACAATTATTAAGCATTTTCTAATACAAAACACTAAGTGTTCCTGGAAGTTGCATGGGTTGGAACAATTTTCTGAGAACTGACAACTCTGCAATGAGTGGATCACAAAGAAAAATGAATGATCTCTTAGAATCCCTTCTGTGACTAGGAGCAAGAGCCTTTCAAGGGCTGTTATAATAGTGATGAGAGCAGCTCTTTCTTACAGCAGTACATGTTCATACAGTCTATGAAAGAATGATTCATTCATTGATAAAAATGAACACTGAATTTCTAACAGTCTCCATGTTAGCCACTGAGGTTACAAGCATAAACACAGTATGGTCTTGCTTTTCTAAGATTTCATGGGCTATAGAAGAAAGGCCTGTACATAGGAAATCAGGGTTTGTTGTAATGAGTTCTATATTTAGCTGAGCCAAAAGCTCAGGGATACAGAAGGAAAGAACAATTAGTGCTGGCTGGAAATGTCTTCCGAAGGTAAGAATTTGAGCTAGATACTGAAGGACAAGTAGGAGTTCAAGTGGAGAGTGACCGTGAGGTGTTCTTTGTCAGTGGGCACAGGGAGTACAAAGTTATGGAGGAGTGGCAGCACCTGGCAAGTTCAAAGGCTCTTTGCCACTTTACACAATTGGAACATGGTCCATAAGTACAGAGAGATTTAGAAAAGTATGATGAACCATATTTTTAAAGAATCTGTATATCAAGCTAAGGTACTGACGTGTTCAGTAGGTAATGTTGACTCAAGTGAGGTTTTTAATCAGCACAGTATTTTGAAATCTAGTCTGTGTCTTACAAATATTCAGATACTGGTACTATGTCACATTGTGACAGAAGGATTTGAGGGGGAAGAAAACCAACCAATAAATGCTCCTTCCTACCTTTCTAAAGACAGAAAGCTACTCACATGCCCTGTCACCTCTTGACTAGCTTCTCAGTCGATAACATATTTGATCTATTCTTAAATCCAATATATTTAGATACAATATGATTATAGAAACAGTATTTTAGTGTCTTATCTTTGACATAAACAGCTCATGTGTAGATAAGATCTTCTTACAATGGAGGCTTATGTTGTTTCTATTATTATTACTGTCCTGCAATATCATCCTAGGGGCTGTGTAATGAGGAAGGAGGGAGCTAAGTGGTCCAGAATGACTAAGATAATACCGCCACTCTTCTATGGTAGCAGCAAGGTCTGATTTGTCATACTGTGAGAAAAGGAGGCAGAGCAGCCAGGAAGCTGGGTGGGGCAGACTCTGCTCATCTCATAGTTCTAGTTGGGGGACTGGAAGGAAATAAAAGTACCTGTGGGCTCTAAAGTGCTGACCATCCATTTGGAATTGCTATCATGTGGGTTGGAGCAGACTTGGAAGTGAAAAATGACTAAAATCAGTCTATTGATATAGAAAAACAAGGTCCAAATTTATATGTTAATATATATTTATTCATACACATTCTCAATTAAAAGGAAATACACTGAAGTGTTAGTTGAAAGTGGGATTAGAGACATTGACAGCAAGATTTTCAGAAAACATTTCTGTACAGTGACACAATAAATAATGGAAAACCTAAGTTAGGTAAAAACAGAAATCATGGTGACACTAGAGAGCAATAAGTGAATAGCATAAGATAAGCATTTATATTCATCTGTCTTATAAAAATTAGAGCATTCAGAGGTAATCTACAGCACACACTGAGGATCATCCTCAATTCTTGCCCTGTCTCCTCTCACTACATATAAGTACTGTCATCAGTTTGGCCCATGTCTTTC